CCGCGATTTCCCCAGGTCTATCCCACCGCGATTTCCCCAAGTCTATCGCACCGCGGCTTCCCCAGGTCTATCGCACCACGGCTTCCCCAGGTCTATCCCACTGCGATTTCCCCAGGTCTATCCCACCGCAGCTTGCCCAGGTCTATCCCACCGCGAGTTCCCCAAGTCTATCCCACCGCGGCTTCCCCAGGTCTATCCCAACACGGCTTCCCCAGGTCTATCCCACCGCGGCTTCCCCAGGTCTATCCCACCACGACTTCCCAAGGTCTATCCCACTGCAGCTTCCCCAGGTCTATCCCACTGCAGCTTTCCCAGGTCTATCCCACCGTGGCTTCCCCAGGTCTATCCCACCGCGGCTTCCCCAGGTCTTTCTCACTGTGGCTTCTCCAGGTCTTTCCCACTGCCTCTCAAGAAATGATCAAGGACAAGGTAATATAAATCTAAAAGAAAGAAGTCACAGCAATTGTAAAGGGGGTTTTTGAACTGGGTTTCTGGGGCTATCTGTCTACAGATCTTTGAAGGGGCAGGACAAGTTCACCTGACTCACTAGTATCTTTTCTGGAAGAAAATCTCCCATCCTTACCTGCTCTGGCCTACATGTGACTCTAGACCCACAGCAATGTGGATGTGTGAATAACTGGTGGCTTTTCGTCAGTGACACCAACATCCCATAAACATATAAAAAAAAGGGTAAAGTGGTAACAGCCTCAAAAACTGTTTTGTTTTTCAATGTTCTGTTCAATCTTCTGTCTTTGTGCAATCAATGTTTTTTCAGGTTGATACTACTTCTAACATTTATAGTTAACCACAGATAGTGGGTCTGCCCCTTGGATTTTTTTTTTCTTACCCACTGTAATGTATTTATTCTGTATATTCTGAAATGTGCCCTTATGTGTCTGCTGCTGCATCTCCAATATCCTGTCATTTGATGTAATTTATCAATGCACTCTAGCCAGTTCGACTTTCATGTCCTCATAACTGACCTTATTTACATTTTTGAAAATTGTCTCGAACTCACTCCTTTGTACCTCAAAATGTATGCAAAATTCAGTTACATTACAGTCACTACCACCTGGGGAACCTTCATCATGAGATCAATAACAATTCCAATTTCTACCCAGCCCTCAATTTCACCTGGTCCATCTCTGACCCCTCCCTACCCTCCCTCAAAATAGGCATCTCTGTTTCCATTTCTGGTGATAAGCTGGCCACTAATATCCACAACAAACCTACCAACTCCCATAGTCCACTCTTCCTTCACTCCCAACAAGCTCTCACAGCCCCACGGCACCTTCCCCTGCAACCACTGAAGGTGTAACACCTGCCCATTTACCTCTTCCCTCCCCTGTATCCAAGGGCCCAAACATACCTTCCAGGTGAAGCAGCGCTTTACCTGCACTTCCCACAATCTAGTTACTGCATTCGCTGCTCACAATGTGGTCTCCTCTACATTGGGGAAACAGCGTGTAGACTGGGTGACTGCTTTTCAGAACACGTATGTTCTGTATGCAAAACAGACCTTGAGCTTCCAGTTGCCTGCCACTCCAACATGCCACTCTGTTCCCTGGCCAACATCTCTGTCTCAGGTTTGCTGCAGGGTTCCAGCGAAGCTCAGTGCAAGCTGGAAGAACAACACCTCATTTTCCGCTTGGGGACCCTGCAGCCTGCTGGACTCAATAGAGTACAACAACTTTAGGGATTGAGTTCCCCTATGCCTCACCCCAACCTCCACACACCAGGCCTTGTTATCACATAGACAGCTATTACACACAACCCATCGTTAGCCATTGATAGTCCCCATTAACAGCTATTCACCATCCTAGCCAGACTGTTATCCACTCTTTTGTCTGTCCAACTGTCCTCTCTCTTTGGGCTCTATCCCCACCTATCATTTATTCCTTAGCCCCTCCACTCACCTTATCTTCTGCATATAAATTTACATTTTCCTTGCTACCATCAGTTCTGAGGAAGGGTCATTTAATCCGAAACGTTAACTCTGATTTGTCTCCACAGATGCTGCCAGAACTGCTGAGCTTTTTCAGCAATTTCAGTTTTTGTACCAGTTCTAGTATAGGCTGCTCTCCGGTTAGCTCCAGAATGTGCTGTCCAGAATGTGCTGTTTTAAGAAACTCTCCTGAAAACATTCTATGAGCTCATTTCGGCTACTTTTGCCCATCTGTCTTCTCCAGTTGATGTGTGGATTAAAATTTCCTGTGATTATCACCATGCCTTTCTGGGAAACTCTCATTATTTCTTCCTTCATATGCCACCCTGTATGCTTACCTGTTAGGTGCCTTTCACACTACTCCCACAAAGTGACTTCCAGCTTTTAGAATTTCTAATTTCTACCTAAACTATCTGCCCTCTGTGTTGGGCTAACACCATGAACTGACAGAGCCAACCTCCAATTTTCCTCCTTCCCTGTCATTCCAAACTTCAAGGTTCAGGTCGCAATTAATGTCATTGTGCAGCCACATCTCAGTAATAGTCACCACACTCATTCTTTGGGTGGCAGGATTGACATGTGAAGAGAGACTGGATCTTTTAGCATTATATTTACTGGAGTTAGGAGAGTGAGAGGTGAACTCATAGAAACCTATCAAATGCAAGAGACTTAAATTTTATCCTTTTATTCCCGTTGTAAACTTTAACTGTTGGTTCATTCTTAGATTCATGGTCTGTATCCTCTCGCATCACACAGTACGTTTATCATTTTCCGCATGAATATCTTTCTCTTTGGCCTTAATTTTACTCTTTGACTTTCCACGAATTCTCAAATTTGGTGCCGCGGTCACACTATTTAAACTTCTCTACTTCTTTAGTTATGTGGCTGGTAAGAACACAATGCCCTATTCCGTTCAGATGGCGATCGCCCTGTTGATACATATATCATGTTCCCAGTACTGATACCAGAGTTCCACAAACTGGAACCCAGTTCTCCCACACCAGTCTTTGAGCTACGTATTCATCTCCTCAATCTTCTTTGTCCTAAGCCAATTTGCAGTTTGTTTGGATATCAATGCAGAAATCACGTCCTTTTGAGGTTCTCTTTCTTAAAAAAAATTGAAACTAGTTTTCCTGCAGCTGGTCAGACCTAAAACATGGCATCTGAACAGAAGAATCTCAATGTGGATCAGGGTATGGGCCATTTGATGAGTGATATAGTTTGATGGGGAAGGGAAGGAGTTACACTTTTGTTACTTCTACTCATTCGCCCCTTTGGATCTGGGTTTTATCCACCACACGGTCAAACATGAGCAGTTTGGTGAATACATACCAGCCCGGTTAAAAAGATCTATTCTATTCTTAAGGTTTAAATTAGTAGATGAACTGGTGGTAAGTTAAGGAAATCTAACAAAAGGTAAACAAAGAAGGGAATGAATGATTGAAGTAATTACCTAAAACTTGTTAAGAATGGCAGGACAAGTGATGTGATCCAGGGCAAGAACATCAGCAGTTGCTTGAGCAGCTTCAGCTCAGAGTTTATGGACTGGGGATGTGGACACAGAGAGTGGGATGTTAACACAAACAAAGTGGAGTATGGACACAGTTAAAGTGAGATGTGGTCACTGATAGAGTGCGATGCAGTCAGAGAGTGGGGTGTGTACACAGACGGAGTGGGTGTGTACACAGACGGAGTGGGGTGCGGACACAGACGGAGTGGGGTGCGGACACAGACGGAGTGGGGTGCGGACACAGACGGAGTGGGGAGTATAGACTGACGGAATGGGGTCCGCAAAATCCCCAAGTTTGCAGATGTTACCAAGTTGGGTGGGAGGGTGAACTGTGACGAGCATGCAGAGATCCTTCAGCATGATCTGGACAGGTTGGGTGAGTGGGCAAATCAGTGGCAGATGCAGTATAATTTGGATAAGTGTGAGGTTATTCACTTTGGAAGCAAAAACAAGAAGGCAGATTACTACCTGAATAGCTGTAAATTGGGAGACGGGGAGTATGCAGTGGGACCTGGGTGGCACCAGTTGCTGAAGGTAAGCATGCAGGTGCAGCAGGCAGTAAAGAAGGCAAATGGTATGTTGGCCTTCATTTGAGAGAGGTTTCGAGTACAGGAGCAGGGATGTGTATTTGTAGTTATACAGGGCCTTGGTGAAACCACACCTGGAATATTGTGTGCAATTTTGGTATCCCTTTCTGAGGAAGAATGCTCTTGCTCTCGAGGGAGTCCACGAAGGTTTCCCAGGCTGATTCTGGGGATGGTGGGACTGATGTATGAAGAGAGATTGACTAGGTTGGGATTGTTTTCACTAGAGTTCAGACAAGTGAGGGAGGAATCTCATAGAGACTTATAAAATTGTAATGGGGTTGGACAGGGTAGATGCACAGAGGATGTTCCCGATGGTGGGTGTGTCCAGAACCAGGGGTCACAGTCTGAGGATTCGGGGTAAACCATTTAGGATGGAGATGAGGAGACATTTCTTCACCCAAAGAGTGGTGAGCCTGTGGAATTCATTACCACAGGAAGTAGTTGATGCCAAAACAGTGAATGTATTCAAGCGGCGGCTAGATATAGCACTTGGGACGAATGGGATCAAAGGTTATGGGGACAAAGAAGGCTACTGAGTTGGACGATCAGCCATGAACGTGAAGAATGGCAGAGTAGGCTTGGAGAGGTCAAATGGCCTTCTCCTGCTCCTATCTTCTATGTTTCTATGTTTCTATGCTTCTATGCTTCTATGCTTCTATGCTTCTATGCATGGACACTGACAGAGTGGGGTGTGGATGCAGACGGTGTGGTCACAGATGGAGTGTGCTGTAGACACATCTTGTGGACTCAGATGGACTGAGGTGTGGACACAGACGGACTGAGGTGTGGACACAGATGGAAGACAGAGGGAGAGAGACAGAAAAGGACAGTCAAACAGGAGCATGAGTGATATTGCATTACATAAAGCATTACCTTCAAAATAATCTCCATGGTGAAGATGGCAGTAAAAGCAATATCAAAATAGGCAAGGATCTGGAAAGTAAATACAAAGAGCAGCTGTTGGATGATTCTTTAGGTAACTGATAGGGAAATGTAAAAATGTTGAAAATGAAAGGTACACAGCACAAGATCCAAACACAACAGTAACATATCAGAGACAAAGACTGCATCCCCCCAGTCCAGGAACAGAGTAACAGACTACCTGGTTGCGGAAGGAATCTGCTCGAATGGGGTCTTCTGCAGCAAGTGAGATACTACTCAACAGGATAAAGAGAAGGATGAAGTTTGTAAAGGTGGTTGCATTTACGATCCTGTGGCACAACTTGCGTAATCTGGAAAAGACAGAATGGGGGTAGTCCATGAACAAGAAGAGACCACAGTCCATAGACCATAAGTTATAGAAGCAGCATTAGGCCATTCGGTACACCGGGTCTGCCCCAGCATTCGATCACAGCTGACATGTTTCTCAACCCCATTTTCCTGCTTTCTCCCTGTAACCCTTGATCCGCTTACTAATCAAGAACCTATCTATCTCTGTCTTAAATACACTCAATGTATTTAAGTGCCTCCACAGCCCTCTGCAGCAATGAGTTCCACAAATCAACCACTCTCTGGCTGAAGAAATTCCTCCTCATCTCAGTTCTAAAGTGTCATCCCTTCATTATGAGGCTCTGCTCTCGGGCCTTAGTCTCTCCAATTCCATCTTCTTCTCATTTGATAAACCCTTCATCACCAGGATCATTCTTGTAAATGTCCTCTAGAGCCCCTCTAACACCAGCACATCCTTCCTTAAATACAGGGCCCTAAACTGTTCATGATATTCCAAATGCAGTCTAACATCAGACCCTTACACAGCCTCAGCAGTACATCTCTGTTCTTGTATTCTAGCCCTCTCGAAATGAATGCTAACATTGCATTTGCCTTCCTAATTGCCAACTGAACCTGCATGTTAACCTTAAGAGAATCTTGAACTAAGACTCCCAAGTCCCTTTGTGCTTCAAACATCTGAAGCCTTTCCCCATTTAGAAAATAGTCTATTCTTCTAGTCTTCCTACCAAGGTGCATAACCTTCCACAATGAATTCCATCTGCCACTTCTTTACCCACTCTCCTAGCCTGTCCAAGTCCTTCTGCAGACTCCCCACTTCCTCAACACTACCTGTCCCTCCACCTATCTTTGTGTCATTTGCAAACTTTGCAACAATGCCCTCAGTTCCTTCATCTGGATCATTAAATGTATAAGGTGAATAGCTGTGGTCCCAAAACCCAAAGGGTTATATCCTGTGAAGTGGAACAGCAACTTCAGAACAGCAAAAGGGGAGGCAGCTGTAGATTTTCACCTTTGAAGACATCAGGTGGAACAGAAACAAAAACAGAAGTTGCTGGAAAAGCTCAGCAGGTCTGGCAGCATCTGTGAAGAAAAAGATCAGAGTTAACGTTTCGGGTCCGGTAACCCTTCCTCACAGATTCTGCCAGACCTGCTGAGCTTTTCCAGCAGCTTCTGTTTTTGTTCCTGATTTACAGCGTCCGCAGTTCTTTCAGTTTTTATTTAGGTGGAATAGAATGCTGTTGTTCTGGATCACAAGTGCTTACAATTGTGGGGCTGGCTTTCTGAGGCTCCACCTGTGCTCTCAGAAACATAGAAACAGTGTCACAGCACACAGGAAAGCCGTTTGCACTAGCCCATTCCACCAAAATTCACCTACTTGTTTGTCGGGCTGAAGATAAAGAAGGAGCTGGCATTGGGCATGGGGACTGCCTTCTCTTTCAGCTGGAGCTCAGCAAGAGGACGAGGACGGGGGCTCAGGGGGAATTCAGGCTCCTCTTCCTCATCATCACCTGCAGAGAACACAGAAAGTATTATTTAAATGGAGAAACACTGCAGAAAACTGCAACACAAAGGGACTGGAGGAACTTGTGCACAAACATAGAGAGCTAGCACCCAGCTGCAGCAGTTAATTGGGAAGGCTAATGGACTGTTGGCCTTTATTTCAACCGTGTTGGAGTATAACAGCAGGGAAGTCTCACTGCAACTGTGCAAGGTTCTGGTAAAACCACACTGCAGTACTGTGAGCAGTTTTGGTCCCTTATTTAAGGAAATGCATCATTTCACTGGAGGCAGTTCACAGAAGATTCACTAAGATGATCCTTGGGATGGAGATATTATCTATTGAGCAACGGTTTAACAGGTTGGGACTCTACTCACTGGAGTTTAGAAAAATGAGAGGTGATCTCATTGAAACATATTAGATTCTTAATGGGCTTGACAGGGTAAATGCTGAGAGTATGTTTCCCGTCATAGGACAGTTTAGGACCAGAAGGCATAGTCTCAGAATAGAAGAGCACCAATTTAAGACTGAGACAAGCAGGAATTTCTTCTCTTAGTGTGTTGACAGTCTTGGAATTCCTTGCCACAAACAGCTCTGGGAGCAAAGTCGTTACATATATTTAAGGCTAAATTAAATAGATTCTTTATCTGAATACGTCACCTAGCATGGTAACGAAACATCTGCAAATCAACAAACCAGCTCGGCGAGCCAACCAACTACATCATAATTAAAATCTCCATGGCAGGCAACATCCTTGTAAATCTCTCCTCTGTACATACTCTAGTGTATCCACACCTTTCCTATAGTGTGACCAGAACTGCACATAGCAATGTTGCTGTGACCTAACTAGTGTTGCATTGAGTTCCAGTATAATCCTACCAACTCTT